TGAATCTCGTGGCCTCCATTCTATGAGTATTTTGGTCCATTTGTTATTATCTCTGGCCACATGACCTGCCCAGCGCCACTTCAACCTTGTCGCCCGTACCACCGCATCGTCGACTTTTGTTCTCTGACTCTGTCGAATGTCTTTATTCCGCACCCGATCTCTGAGGCTAATACCAAGCATTGCTCTTTCCATGGCGCGTTGACAAACTCTCAACTTGTTAGCACTTGCATGTGTCATAGTGACTGTCTCGAAACCATAAGTCGCTACTGGTAAAATACATGTGTGGGTTTTTGAGAATATAACCCAGTTTTGGTAAGCTGCCCATGTAAGACCCGTTCGTCGATTTATCTCAGCAGTTTGATTCTCTTTGCCGAGCTCAATGTTATGGCCGAGATAGTTATATTCGTTCACCACTTGTAGAGTCTGATTTTCAATAGTTACGTCGACATTGTCTGTGCTCATTATTTTAGTTTTCCGGATATTCATTGTCAGTCCTACTGCTTTGGATGTTTGTTGTAGTTCCTTTATCATGATGGATAATTCCTCTGAGTCATGACTGATGATCACGATATCGCCTGCAAATCTCAGAGGGTTCAAGTATTTTCTGTCAATTGAGATACCCTTGTCCGGCCATGGTAACTTTTTAAATATGTCCTCTAGCGCCAGTGTAAATAGCTTTGGGGAGATCGTGTCACCTTTTCTGACTCCTCTATTTAATGAAATTGTCTCAGTGGTCAGTTCATCGTCGATCTTCACTTGCATTTTGGCATTTTCATATGCATGACCATGCTGGTGTATCTAGAATCGATCCTCGCATTATGCATAGCATCTAAAACTGCCCATGTCTCAACAGAATCAAACGCTGTTGTATTCTGTACACTTCTCGATCAAGGTTCATATACTCTGTATGTGATCAATCGTGCTGAATCCGTTCCGAAAGCCTGCTTGTTCAACTGGCTGGTAGAAATCAAACGTAGTATTTAGTCTATTTGTAAGTATTTTCGTCAGCAGCTTATATAGGATAGACAGCAAAGTAATAGGGCGGTAATTCTCCAGGCTAGTGGCATCTCTCTTCTTGAATATAATAGTAAATTCGGCGTTTTGCCAGGCTTCGGGGATTTTTTCTTCTTCTAGACATTTATTTAGTATAATGAGGAAATGAGGATGGCTTTTTCCAATCCTCCGATCTTAAGCATTTCGCTGGTAATTCCATCCTCTCTTGGAGCTTTTCCGTTCTTCAGCTGTCCTATTGCGGTTCTTAACCCACTTGTACATATTTCAGGTATTTCTTCGGATTCAGCATTTATGATGGTGTGTGTGTGACTTTATCCCCTGGCGCTTTATTATTTATTATAAAGCACCAGGGGAAGACAACATAGTTACAGACGCAATAAAAATAGGAGGCTAACATCTACTGCTAAAAATAAAAGAGCTTTTTAACCTCTGTTTATTCAATAGTAAAGTCCTCAAAAATTGGCATAATTCCATTGTAATCCTGCTTCACAAAAAAGGAGATATGGCAGAGCTAGAGAACTATCGACCAATAAGCCTCTTAAGTCACCTTTACAAACTGTTTACTCGAATTCTAACCACCCGACTGGAAAATAAATTGGATTTCTACCAACCTGTGGAACAGGCAGATTTTCGTCGTGGATTTGGAACGAATGACCACCTTCAAAGCGTCAAAACACTCATAGAAAAGACAATGGAATACAACAGAGCTTTAGTAATGACATTCGTGAACTTCAAAAGCCTTCGTCACAATAGAGCTAAATGCAGTGTGGAATGCACTTCAGGAATGTAGAATCGACTACCGATATACCAAACTCATTCACAATATCTAGAAAAATGCAACAATGACGGTAAAACTACATGAAAATACCAACCTCATAACTATTGAACGTGGTGTTCGGCGATGCGACACGATGTCACCAAAACTATTCATTACAGTCATGGAGAGTGCATTCAAACAATTGGACTGGAGTCAGAGAGGTATAAACATAGATGGCAAGAACCTGAACAGCTTACATTTTGCAGATGATATAGTGCTATTCTCGGATAATCTAGAAGAAATGCCACTGATGTTGCAGGACCTGCAAGAGGTGTGTGGAAAAGTCGGTCTTAACATCAATATGTCAAAAACAAAATTCATGACAAACCTTGTTTCCAGCTGTGGCTTGAAGATTGACGGAGCTGAAATTCAAATGGTAGATAGATATGTGTACCTTGGCCATGAGGTCAGCATCTCAAGGGATAATTAGACATGCGAACTAAAGAGACTCACTCTCTCATGGGCAGCTTTTGGAAGACTTAAAGACGTTTTCAAGAGTGACATTCCCGTCAATTTAAAAAGAAGGGTTTTCGATCAGTGCGTGCTACCAGTAATGACATATGGCTCAGAAACCCTAAAACTAACAAAAGCAACAGCAGAGAAACTCAGAGTTACACAGAGGAAGATGGAGAGATCCGTGCTTGGTGTGACCTTGAAGGATCATATGAGAAACAAGAATCTGCGCGAAAGAACCGGTGTCAGCGATGTCGTTAGAGCTATTGCGAAGCTTAAGTGGAACTGAGTTGGCCACGTTGCACGGATGCGCGATGATCGATGGAAGAAGATGCTTCTTGAGTGGAGACTTAGAACGGGAAAGCGAAGTAGAGGAAGACCGCCTACGCGTTGGTCGGACGATATTAAGGGAACCCGCAGCAACTGGATACAAACAGCACAAAACCGATTGGAATGGAAAATGATTAGGGAGGCCTATGTTCAACAGTGCACGCAGAGGGCTGATTGATGATGATGATGATGTGTCTATCTTCTTATGTCGGCTATTGGTGATTGTATAGTTTGATTATATAAGTTTTGGTAGAAAGCCTGCATTACTTTAGCGATCTCGTTTCTTTCATGTACAAGATTTCCTCGGCCATTTCCTAATTTCTGGATTAGGAGTTTTCCTCTGTTTCTTTTCGATTTAAGAACCTTCATGTTCATGTTATTTTCGATCAATTTTTCAATTTGTTGAGTGTGGTATCTTCTTAGGTCTTTCCTGATTTCTTTCTTGACTCTTTTATTTAGTCCCTCATAATATGTTGGAGATTCTCTATCTTTTTTTCTACGTAGCTCAATGAGGGTGTTGGTTTCTTTACTTACTTATTTCTGTGTCTTTATTTCTATTTCTATAGCAAACAGCCTTTTTTGCTGTGTACCTATTATTTTCTTTGAGAGATCTTCTAGGTTTAATTCTCTTAGATTTTCTGTTGGCTCCAGTTTTTTCTAGATGATGGTATTATATTCTTTCCTCTTATCGGCGAGCTCTTTTATCGATGGGCGTATGCTCTTTTCAGTTCGCCTTTTGATTTCTAGTTGAGTGTTGATTCTGAATTTGGCTCTAACCAGTCGGTGGTCACTGCCTGTGTTAAAGTGGTTTAGTACAGAGACATCTAGACAGATTTTCTTGTTCGTTGGTAGAATATAATCGATTTCGTTTTTACCTTGCCATCTGGGCTATTCCAAGTCCATTTTCTTTGAGGAGGTTTCTTGAAAAAGGTGTTCAAGCAGTAGAGATTTTCACGACAGAGAAAGTCTAGCATTACCTGCCCTTTATGATTTCGTTCTCCTAACCCAAAATTTCCGATGTTATTCGAGTCTGATGTATTTCGTCGTCCTATCTACGCATTAAAATTTCCTAATATTATCTTAGATTTTGTTCTTTCAGAGTTCATTGCTACTGATATATCTTCGTAGAATTGTTGGCATTCTTCTTCTGACGATTTGCTGGTCGGACCGTATGTTTGGATTATTTGTATGCTGTGTATCTTCTTGAGCTGTATCATGATATATATGACCCTGTCGGAGATTGCACAAGTTTTAGTGATAAGCTGTTTAGTTCTGATCGCTATTCCTCCAATGTGAGAGTTGGTTTCCTGGTTTCTTTGAAATAGCAGATGTCCACATTTTTATTGGTGGTAGAAAAAAGTGTTTTTTGTTATTTTTGCCATTTAGGCCAAAACAAAATATCATGTGTTATATATCGTTGAACTCGCAGTTTTTTACCCAACCTACTGAACCAATAAGATACAGGGTGTTCTATTCGAAAAATCTTTTTTTTTTTCGGATATGAAGAAGATGAAGCCCTCAAATTTTTTCCAAGTACGCCACTGGATTTTACGTAAAAAAAAAGACGTATTTTTTCCTTTTTACACTTTTTCTTTGTCTCTGTAGGGTAAGAAGTTATAGAGGATTATAAATAATAGCTGATTCTGAAAAACACCGTGTACCTCGTAAACCAATCTAATTGGCCAAGATCTGACTACATCATCAAATGACACAGTAAAAAAGTGGACGGGAAGCGTAGATCAGTTTCTCAGAATCTTCGGCCATTTTGGCTGTACCCCATAAAGCTATCGAAAATCGACCACCCAGTACATAAAATAATGCAAGTTAAAACAAGAAAAAAAATTATGAAAACCAGAACCGAAAAAAAAAAAAAAAAATACTGTCAATATAAGGCACATGCATCTCAAAATTACCAATTAAAAAGAACAACTGGGGAGGCACGAATCTCGATCACGAAACAATCGAATAATCGAGTCCTATAATTTTGTGAGTGACATTTTGATCAATTTAAAAATTTCCATCGAGTGATCGGGTTTCGTGCTCCCCCAGGAAATCAAATAAATCTCTAAGTTTAAGAGTTTCTGGACAGCAGCTGACACTGAACTCGAAATATGGTTTATTGGTCGGGTTCATCCTAGTATGTACTGCTTCTATGCAGCTTATTCTCACGTCTTCAGTGTCTTTCATGGAAGGACAATAGAGCAATCCCAAAAATTTCAAATTTCAACAAATCCATTTATTTTATGATAGTTAAACAAATTAAGCCAACTGAAAAAACAGTCGGAAATAAACCGTAAAAAAACTTGGAGATCAAATCAGTTTATTAAAATACGTTGTACTAAAAAAAAGCCTTCCAAAAATAACGTGAGATACGTTTTCATTCCAGGTTATCTTCTAACAAGGGTTGAAGGCAAAATAGGCTCCCCCGAGAAACCCCTCAGCGATTTGGGTTTAATTTCTTATCGGTCTTATTGGAAAGACGTTTTGCTCAATTATTTATGTTCCAGAGCTGGAACTACGTTATCCGTCAAGGATATTAGTCAAGAAGTGAGTAAATATTTTTGAAAAAACTTTTGAAAGTAAAAAAATCAAATATTTTCAGATGGCTATACATTCCTATGACATTGTTTCGACTCTACAAGCTCTGGGAATGATGAAATACTGGAAAGGTAAGCATATAATTCTTAAAAAACAAGACGTTTTGGATGAGTACGTCGAGAGGGTACAAAGACGAGGGTCTTTGCTTAAGGAAATCGACCCCTGTTGCTTAAGATGGACGCCACCTCAAAGTCAAGTGTCTGCGTGAGAATCGTAGTAATTATTTCTTATTTATTTTGTTGGGGATCAGAGGGTTATCTGAACATACAAAAAGTTGAACCTGAAATTGTAATTGGAAATTATAGTTAATTATCACTTATAAATATTGGAAAACGCATTTAAACATTTGTTCAGTTTATATATATGGGTAGGTAATTATTAATATTTATTTTAAAGAAATATAGTACAATTCTTATTCTAATGTTATTGTTTTAATTTTCTTTATAATAATAACAGGATATATGGGTCAAAAATTATATTAAGTAGTAGAACTCTTGCATAATATCAAGCTTTCCAAACTAATGTGTTTGTTCTTCAGGACTAAAAAAAATATATATAATATAATGGCACCTAGGTACCTTGGGCATAACTTGTATAGAGTATAACAGAATACCTGATAGATTAATTAAGTTAATAACTGTATTAGTGTAATTTTCATTTAATTACCAATGAGTGGCGGATTTACGTTTTTGGTTTTGGCTGGTGGCTGCGGGGAAGGCTCCCGCTATTGTTGTTCTATCGGTTTTCCTGTTGTTTGAATATTCGGCTCTTCTACCTCCAGAGCTTGGAACCGATAAGTGACGATGGTCGTGTTGCGCCTGTTGAAAGTGGTTATCTGATAAGTTCTGTTGTTTTTTTTTGAAGGTTCTTTGAGCTCCTTTTTACTTGTGTCTGCTTAGGGGTTGGCTTGTTTGGCAATATCTATGAAAACTTCAGACTCTAGCGGGTTTTGCTCTGGTTTCTACTTGTGGCCCAATTCTTGAAAATATCGCATACGAAATTTGATTCGAATATGACTGACAGCAACGTGAATTAAATAGGAAGCGTTCTCCTGTCTTTGTTCTCCTTTTTAGCGGAGGAGACCGTCTGGTGCTCTTTCTACAGGTGCTGGATGGCAGTTTCATAGTTCTTCAGTCCTGTCAGGGGCGCAACTAGCTTGTTGGTTTTGGGGGGGCTTGAGCCCCGGGTCTCTATAAGTCGATTTGGTGACAGTATACGATGTTTTTAAAAACTTACTACAGTACGTATTTCACAAATGCCTGAATTTGACGGAAATACATTGCTATAAACTTTGTTCTTCGATATAATCCACGTTCTTAGTTGAAAAAAAAAGAACAATGTTATAAAAGACATTTTTATGTACGGGTCTATTCCTCATAATTAGTGCGCCTCCTACAACTTAAACAAAAGAAAATACAAAAAAAAGTTTAATACAAAAGTTGTAGGGTTTTATCTCTATTATGTTTTGCACATGTCAAAATAGGCAAATGACAGGTGCCAACTGTCATAATGACAGCACTTGCATTTTTTTAAATAGAATACCCTGTATATTTTTGGCTAGAATGATAGATCTTTTTCTTCTGATTCCAAATATATCATATATGTTGATAATTGGTTCAGCTGTTTTTGCGCTATTTCATTTTAAAATTGCATTGAGCAAGCCTCATCACATCATTGATATTAGAAACCGGGAACAGACCTAATTTAGGGTAAAGTAAATTCATTTTTAAACTAGAACAGCGTAAAAACAGCTGAATCAAATATCAACATATATGGTATATTTGAAATCAGAAGAAAAAAATCTATCATTCTAGCTAAAAATATACAGGATATTTCATTTAAAAAAATGCAAGTGCTGTCATTATGACAGTTGGCACCTGTCATTTGCCCATGTACGAAAGATAATAGAGATAAAACCCTACAACTTTTGTATTTTACTTTTTTTTTGTATTTTCTTTTGTTTAAGTTGTAGGAGCCGCACTAATTATAAGGAACAGACCCTGTACATACATACATAATATGTAAGTAAAAATATAATGAGTTTAAAACTTCTTAAACTACTTAAATCGGTACTAAAAACAACTTGAAAACTGAAACAAGTTCTGTTAAATTAAATTCCTCCTAAGTGCACAAACAGACACGGACCAGCAGACGAAAGGATTAAAAAACTGTTGTGTCACTGGAACGCACCCTACTTTAAGCTTCATGTTTTTCTGCCCCCATAAAATAGCAGGTGCTTGAGAGGGCAGGGGGAAGAAAAACGAACAGTTCAGTTGCGCGAAACTCTAATGCACTGGAACGCCTATAAACAGTACAGGGCGCACTAGAGCAGCTCAGGAGTGCTTAAAGTGCGTCGCTGGAAAGCGACTCAGATCTGCTCCCTTGGGTTTGGGAGGGCGGATGGCTAATTTGTGTCATTACCATTATGTTTGTGACCATCGGGTTTGGGGGGGCTAATCTTGAGCTTGGGGGGGCTAAGCCCCCCCTAATTGCGCCACTGAGTCCTGTCCCCGTTCTTCGCATAAGTACGGATAATGCTTGTTGTAGAGCTTGCACTTTTTCGCCTACATCGACAATTTGCATGGTAACTTGGCTTGGCTGGTTTTACGTCTAGTCGATGCGGTCGTTTTTAGTGAGGCATAACTTGGTGCGAAAACATCAGAAATCTGGAGCGTGACACTACCGGTGTCCATTTTATTGAAGTCGCTGTCATGCCAAGAGAGAATATCGTACTCGGACTTACTCTCGTCCGTTTTCCATGATGAAATTGGTCTCGTCGCTGGGTTTATGATGGACAGGAAACTGCAGAGGCATCACGCGCAAATTGCTGAGATTATGACAGAACATGAAATATTTTATTCTCAAAAGTTGTGGATCAACTCAGGAAAGACGCTAATTTGGAAACGTCGTATGATTGAATAAAAAAAATTGTTTTGGTTAGAACACAGTAGTTGACAATGGGAGTAATCTAGATGCTAATCTAGATTTTATTTATTCTTATTTTTTATTTGTTTTTATTTTTTAATTATGGTTCGTTTCATATTTGAATTTAATTGAACAAGGTTTTATTTTGAATTAATTTTTTGTATGTTTGTTACAATTAAACATGCTTTGTGAAGAGTGTTTAGGCGGCAAAGAAATCAACGATATCGAAAACCCCATGTCATCTGCAACATTTTTCACGTAATGGAATGTAGCATGTGAATAAACCTCCTCAATTTCACTGGAATTGAGAAATTTTGCCATATTTTCGAATCATCGATCTTTTGTTTTTGAAAACATTTTCTGTGAAGAAAGCTTGTCCCGAAATCGGTAAGTATTACATCCGGTAAATAATAGGATTACAAGGGGAATGTGATCCGAGACAACTGATATCTGCTTCAGACAATTAGCTTCGATTTTGACATCAGCCCGAGAAGCATCAAAGACGAGAGCTTGGTAAGCGCTGCACATTTTCTATGATATCGCGAATAACCGGGCGCTAAAACTATCTGTTTTTTTTTTTTAATTACCTTGTCAGCAACTTTCTCATTTAGATCATTATTCAGCAGGAGCTTCGAACACTACATTTATATTAAAAAATATTTTGAATATTATTATTGCTATACGAAACGATACTCCTAAATTGATTCAAAAAATAAAGCTAACTCTAATGTTTACGAACGCTAGCCCGTCTTTGATTTTTTTTAGCATTATAAATATTATCAGTTTTTGGTTTAGAAGCAGTGAAAACAATGCCATCAATAAATGTAATTGCTGATTTTGGATAAATTTAATTATGTTTCTGAAAAAACCTGGTTTAAATGCTCATGAGCCTCCTCAATTTTTTTATTTTGGTGGTTCGTGAACTGGATTTTAACAATATTTCGCAACAAATGGTTATCAAAGAATTCTCACTCTGGGACTTACGTTTTTTATAACCAAATATTAATCGATTTGATACATCATTATTTTTGACAATCATGAGACAAGGTGCAACTGAAACTAACTTCCAACTGAACTTGGTCCTGTTCCTACGTCGGGGCTCTGGTCCATGCGTGGCTGCTGGGTTGGCAGTGCTGTGGTTCCTGCCTCGTCATCGTCGCTTCGTGGAGAGGCTCTTCGACAGTCGGCGTTCAATGGACGGAAGGCTGGCTGCCTCCTACTTCGAATTGCCTTTCCAGGCTAGGAAGGGTTCTATTTAAAAGTAGACCTCCTGTGTGGTCTCTTGAGCAGCGAAATCGAGAGTGACTGCGGGTGGCCCCTCAGTGCCTACTTAGTTCAGAAAAGAGAGTTCTCGCAGCATTAGACCTGTTATGGTGGATAGTCATCGTGTGGAACTCGTAGGCGTCCCTCGTATTGTAGACAGGCCTGGTGGGAGTCCTGTATGGTCTAACATTCAAGAAGCGTTTGGTGTTTAACTCTATCTCGAGATCTCCGTGTGGCGTCAGGTTGCTCATCGACCAAGGCGCGATGATGCGGAGGAACTTGTTTTGGAAAACTGTGTTTTTTTTTATATGACGAGCCGCTTCGAAGGACCATGTCGGGGATCCATAGATGAGATGGGCATGCTCATGGATTAGTATGGCATCAATTTGGTTCTGGTGATTAACTTGTCAAGAGATGGGGTTTGTAGTTTCGTACACTTTCTTTAAGCTCCTACCAAGACGCCTGTACACTTGGACTTTTGACGCCCATACGCCAGAGAGGATAGTCAGGAAAAAAAAAGACTTTCTATTGATAAATAAAAGATACAGAAATTGCATTAAATCGGCAAAAACTTACCCTGGCGCAGACATATCCGATCACAATTCGCTTGTAGCAAATATTCAGTTAACTCTAGAAAAGTGTACAGTAAAGGGAAGCTGCCCTAAATCAGATCTGACAAAACTGAACAACCCAGAAATGCTAGTCGAGGTCAGAACCGAACTAAATTGTGGACTAAGCAAAGTGAACGTTGTGGAGAATTCCGAAGCGGAGACTGTTTAGACCAAGGTCAAGGAAGCTTTCGCAAACGCAAGCTTGAAATTACCTTCAACGATAATATGATAAAAAAAAGCTTGGATGACTGATGAAAGAAATTCTTTATTTAATGGAAGAGAGACGCTTGAAAAAAGGTTATCCGGTATACCATCAGATGAATTGTGAAATAAAGAACAAAATTAGATTGGCCAAAGAAAATTGGCTTAACGAGCAATGTCACGGAATCGAAGTTCTGGAGGCTAAGTA